TTTAAAACATCGGATTGCAGCTGTGACTAGATATTGTTGCCATTAACTGCCGAATATTAACATTTTGCTAAATTCGATGTTGGCAACAGCAAACCATTAGGAAATATACGGTAAAAACTACTCGGCTGGACTATCCCGGCCATATCCTTTGGCTATTTGCAGCCCTGGCGCCGTTTTTGCAGCATTTGGTTTGCTTTGTGTTAAAAAAAGCAGCACAGGCAGTGTACGTGCCCTGAATAACACTAGTAACAAGCGCCAAAAATAGCTCAACGTTTAGACTGCCTTTTTTGCCAAACCGGTCCAGATGCTTCATCTATGTGTCCGAAAGAACACTAACAACGAGCGCCAAAAGTAGCTCTAATAAATATATTACTCAACACAACACACCAGCATCAAATTAATATTGGCAAACAAAGCAAGTAATAATTTTACTAAAAGATGTTTTTAAAAGTTCTACATATAGTGTTATCGCCATTTAAAAACGGCACCTTCAGAAACCCATTAATAAACTAATCTAGGTTCATATCACTTTGCATTATCGGCCAAGCCGTCGAGTGGAGTTTCAGCTTAGCGAGTCTGTGCCTAGAATAGCGCAAGTTCAAGGAGAGGGACAAAGTGATGTGTGTCTGCGCTTGATTGCGCGCTTTCAGAACTAAATGTCAGCCCTGTTGGACCCTGCATGATAGCCCGATTTTGGAGATTGGCCAACGGTGACAGTAAATTAACCAAAATTGTCTGATTGAGTTCATTCGCTCGGTCGGCCAAATCACAGTCAATAGTTGCATTCGCATACTGCTGGAACTTGCGGTTGAAAGCTATTGCGAATCTGGGAGGCATCCAGCGCGTGAAGCTGTACGCGAGATCGTTTCTTGCTACGTAGCGAAAATGAATGAATAAAGACGCGGCAAGCTCATAGCACCTATTGAAATGCATAGCTGTTGGCGTCGTTAAATTGCAAAACGCATTCCAGCGAAGGAAAGGCAGTACAAGTCAGTTTTCAAGCTGTGGGGCGTCGTGTGGCAGCTGGGCGCGCAGGTCTGTTGCACTAATGAACAGACGCTGCTGCTCCTGCGTCTGGGCAGCGTTCACTCGACCTGAAAGTGCGTTCTCCTCGCGCACAACACGGTTCACAATTTTGTGTGCAATACACAACCAGTTTTTGAAGAATATATCCCGGAATTCGCCGAGAGAAGGACATTCACTCAGAAAATGCTGTACCGAGTCTAGGACGCCGCAGTTGCACTCGGCCGGTGTTCTACCAGGAAGTCGGTTCAGCGCCAAACGGTGGATTGTGCTGCGGGCTTCCGGCGGTGCGTTCAGGCGGATAATGCTAATCCATGATGGATCCGCCGTCGACAGTCCTGGGCTCTGTATGGAGAAAGTTGGGAATACCATTTGTTTTGTATCGTACTCGATGAACTCGCGTGCTTTGCTTATGTCCATCCATTGCTCAAAGGGCAGTGCTGTGCCGTCACTAGCCTGTGCGGGTATGCCGTATTCCATGATGTACTGATACGGGAGTGAGCGAGCTTCTACCAATAGATTAGTGGTATCCTGAACCACCGCGCTATAATACTCGTCCAGCGATTTAGCTATTTTTTCAGCAGCTGTTGGATCATTCGAGATAATAAAGGATGACCGGAGAACGCGTACAAGATAGGGAATCTTGCTAACCGTAACTGGACTGACATGCTTCTTGACAGTAAGTAGATGCTTTAGGGCGCCAGCATACACACCCCAAAAATGAAAACCAGATATATTAATATGACCAGTCATCAAGAGTGGCCGCGAATTGCGCAGCCCTGCAATTCCGCGGCAATGACAAATAGTACACTGCCCAACTTGTCGCCCTGCCGTACGCCACGGCGAATTGGAAATGATTTGGTCAGCTGGCCGTTCATTATGGCGCGCGAAGAGGAAACGCTGTAGAGCGCCTTGATTGCACTAATATAAATGGCCGGAATGCCGATTCTATCGAGAACAGCAAACAGAGCAGTATGCGATATGCTATTGCAGGCCTTTTGTTGATCAAGGAACACCATGGCGCCTTGGCGTTCTGTAATCTCGAGGTACTTGGTTGCCGCCTGCAATTTGTAAATTCCGTCAGTGATGCAGCGGCCAGGAATTATAGCAAACTGATCGGGCGACACTAAGCGGCGCACCAAAGCACCAATTCGCTCAGCAACAATTGACGTCAGAATTTTGAGATCTGCATTGAGCAAAGTAGTTGACTGGTAGTTATCCAATACAGTACGGTCGCCATCCTTGTAGGCAAGCTTAATTGAGCCCTCGGCGTAAAACGCTGGTACAGAATCTGGATCGCGAATCCATATGTTGCCCAGGTGATGCAATATTTTCTGCGCTGTCTGCGAGTGAATATACAGTTCAGATGGAACCCCGTTGGGCCCTGCTGCATCGAGAAGCGCCGTCTTTTTACAGGCAGCTATAATGTCAATAATCTCAAAAGTTTGGGGCATTGCGCGAATCTCAGCGCCAGTCAGTGCACAGCCTCTGTCATCAATATCGCTAAGCATTGACTCGCAGAGTGTTTCCATGCTTGGCTGACATGGCTCCTCGTGCTCAAACGCTCTTCCAAAATAATATTCAGCTGCCGCGTGCAAGTCGGCTGCTGTGGAGCGTAAAATCTCATTTGTGTCTCCTGCAATACAGCTAGGTTGAGTCGGATTGAGCGAGTGAGCGCTTGACGAGCGAGTATTTTCTGGATCGCTATTGGCGGCTGAAAACCCTGTTGGTGATATGTGCTGCAGTGCAAAAATTGCCTGCTGTCGCCGGGGATCAATGCATCGCCTAGTAATCAGCGACTGCCAAACTGGGTTCCTGTCGCCATCGTTGAGCCAGACAGATGCAGTTTTCTCCTGAACTTTTAGTGATGCTTTCTGGGCAAGCGCCACGGCCTGTTCTTCATACCTGCGTATTTTATCTTTGTGAATCACCCAACCTAGTCCATCTTGCTCGTTGCCCAGGCGCATGAGTTCCTCGCACAGCCAGAGTATTTTGTTATCTAGGCGATTCTGCTGCAGGTCGCTCTGTTTGCGTGAATACTGTAAAACATCACTGAGTAACTCGCGATATCTTTCAAACGCAGTGCGTCCAGTGAGTGTGAAATCGAATCCACCCAGAATTTGCTCGATTTTTGCCAAATGAACTGGATCCAACGGGAAATCGTGTGCCATTTCGTATGAAGCGTCAGAAAAGAACTCTCCAAGCAGTGGCTGAGGCGCATAGAGCGTAAGCTCTTTATGATCTGAAAAACTGCCAACATCAATATGATCGTACTTTGCGCGCTTGACATCCAACAAATGTGGAGGAATGAGGATGTGGTCAATCCGCGACACATAGGGGGTGCCTGTCTTGCCCTGCTGTTTGAATGTGTAATAAGTACTTCTGTTAATTGCAGAGCGCGGATTAGCCAGCCCGGTCAGAGCTTCACAGGCGTTGCATAGCCCGAGCGATTCTGTGTATAGATGCATCAAACCTTCTTCAGGGCGCTTTGCCATGCCACGACTGTCTGTCATGCCACGGCGATTTGCCACACCACGGCGGTCTGCCGGCGTCGGTGCGAGATTAAAGTCGCCAGCAACTATCGGTGTCCAGCCCGCCTGCTGATACAATAGTACTGTTGAGATGATGTCATGATGAAATGCCCTAATATTTTCAAATGGGCCGTGGACTGATACGAGCAGCAGTCCAAAATCGGGGACAGTCACAAACGTGGCACGTGTACAGCTAGCCATCTCCTCCAGCCGCGCTTTTATATCCAAGTGACAGAGACCTTGCACTTGTACGCAGCGCTTCTGTGTTACTGTGGTGTTTCTGTTGGAACACCGCTCACACATTAACGGGCAATGAGCAGGCAAAAAAGGAAAGGAAACAGTGTCTGCCAAAGGGGAAAACAGGCCCAATAATATACAAATGCATTATTGGTGTCAGTTAATTGCTTTTCCAATTATGTGCATTACATTAATTATTGTGTTGTGTTGTGTAAATAAATTGATTATATTCCAACTGTAGCAACACAAAGACTATGACATACAAGAGGCTAACTATATTGTATGCACTCAGTATGAATACCAACATTTACTGTAAAAGTGTATTGATGAAAATGCTTTAAATGGAGACATATACAGTCCACAGAAGAGACGCGTACTAACAAACTACACACCCAGAAAAGTCACATACAAAAGAGCTGCACAAAAAACTACATGTTAACAACCTGTGTGTGCCAATGAGCTGTCCACTGTTAGAGCCGCCCACAAGAGCGTTGTGCACCACAAGAGCCATATACCAAAGTGTTACACACCAGAAGAGATGAGCGTCAATATAGCTGTGTACCAAAGAACTGTGTGCCACTCAAGCCACACGCAATAGAACCCCACACAATAGAACCGTTACATTACAGATTTAAAACTATAAAACTTTCAATTTAAACAAAAGAAAAGAAAACATAATCACCGTGCAGCTTGCCGCTATTTTGACATCAGCCCAACAGCTTGGCATTGTACATATGTTACAGATGCTTTATCTATGTCTCCTGAAAACCACTAATAACAAGTTGCCGAAAATAGCTCAGTTGGCAGAGCGGGAGACTGTAGTGGACAACAACCAAGATATCTCTAGGTCCCTGGTTCAAATCCGGGTTTTCGGATCAATTTTTTGCCGTTTGGGTAATCCATCTTTTTTTGCATGCGGCAACTCGGTGTCGATCATTGTGTAGCATTTGATGAGCCATGCGTGTCACTGACTCTTTTTGTTGTGAGGCGCCAAAGGACACTCACATGCATGAGCCTCTTTTTGTTACAGCTGTCAGGCTTAAAGCTTTTTTCAGAACAGCAGACTGCTTTTATTGCAAATAGATGAGCTATTCAACAGCTGCTAGTGTTTTCAATAGTTCTCTTTTAATCTGTGTTGTGAATGTGGCAACCCCATTCCTTTTTCTTAACCCGCGATATACACATTGATTTAATGGTGGTGTACAACTCAATGGCATTCAT